GCTTCCGATACGCCACGGAGACCGAACCAGCGCTAACGCTATGAACAACGTTGCCGCCTTTGTCGACGATCGAGACACTGGGCTGCGGCGCAAAGGGGGAGCCGCCGGTCGTCGCGCCCAAGGCCGTCGTTAAAGCGATGGTATGCGGGAGTCCGAGGAGGATGTCAAAAGGATGTGAGGTCGTTTGGACGCCAAACGAGAGCGAGACAAACGTAAGCGTGTAGCCAGCAGCGACCAAGTCGATCGAGAGCCCCGTGCACGTGATGACACCGCCGACGATCGGGAAGGCGAGCCCAGACGCGCCAGAAAGATGCGCGTAGAGGCGCGGATTGTCGCTAATGTACACGGACACAAAGCCGCTATTGACGTGGTGCAGGACGGTTCCGGCGCCGTCTTCGAGCTGCAATGTCGGTGGCGGCGAGAGCTCGTTGCCCGCGGCCGTCGCGACAGGCTGCGAGATAAGGACGAGCTCGTTGCTACTCACGAGTGCGCTCAGCGCTAGCAGCAGCAGCCATCGCACGAGCTGCCACGCGCGACGGTCGTCCATGCTGCCCGATCCTACCCGAAAGGTCATCTCGCACTGCGATCGCGTGCAACGTCTTTAACGCACTTGTCAAGTACGTTCAACGACTTTACCCTCTATGTTCAGCACGAGACGCGCGTTGAACGACTTGAACCCATGTGCTAAACACAAGCATGTGCGTCAATCAGCGTTAATTGCTTCCAGGATCGTGTTAAACCATAGGTCTAGGTTAGAGGTTGCCGACACCAAAGTTGGCGCTCGACAAGGCGAGACGCGCAGCAGGCTTGGCCGCGAACGTTGTGGCGAGGCCCTTCATCTTGGCCGGCTCGAACTGTGGTCGACGAAATCGCCGCAGTTGACAAGTGCGTCCGGGACGCAGTCGCGACCGAGCGCCGCCTTGCAGCTGCCCTTGTTGGCGTTCGTCGTCGACATGATCTAGCCGTTGGGCTCGGCGAGGTTGGGCGACGCGGTCGCAGCGAAAAAGTTGCCTACTGAGAGCACGTACGCTTCGTCGACCTCGAACGAGTGGCCCGAGTTGTCGTGCCAGTAGTTGTTGGCAGTGTGGACTTGCACCGAGTACTTGCCGAGTTGATTTTGGGCGCGCGGCCGGAGGTTTTCCGAATGACGTTGTTGAGGTAGCTCACCTTGAGGTTGCTGGTAGAGATGTTGGTTCAGTAGTGGCGGCCGTCGCACGTGGCCGACCACTCGGTCTCGCCGTCAAAGTCGCAGTTGCTTACGGTGATACTGTTGGCGCCGTCCGTCGTGAGCATCTGCCGACCGACGTTGGAGATTTTAACGTGGTCGATCCAAATCTTTAGCTGAGCCATCGGGCTTGCCGTTGAGGTAGATGGCGTCGCCGCCCCAGACGTACTGCGGGTTGAGGTTCGTCACGTGGACATCATTCTGGAGAATGATGTTTTCGCCGCGGAGTCAGAGGCCTTTGCCGACAATGACGCCTCTCTGGCCCTCTCCACGAATGGTCTTGGCGCCCATGACGGCGAGCGGGTTCTTGGTACCGGCCACGTCGTACAAGACTTGAACGGGCGTGCCGTTGGTGCAGCCGCCTCAAGGATCACGTCCTGGCTCTTGAAGCCTTTCTTCTTGGCGATGCACTCGCGCGTGTAGTCGGGACGGCACTCCGTCTCGGACGTTGTTCCTTCGGTGCCGCGAAAGTCGAACGTCTTATTGAGGACAATGACCCGGGGCACCGCGTCCTGGAGGTACGCCTTGAGCTCGTTGGTGTTTTTGGGGTAGACGGGTGCTGCGTTGCCACCGCCCGTGACGCCGGCAGCGACGCCAGGCGTGCTCGCACCCGAGACGGCGTCCAAGGCAAAGGCGAGGAGGGCAAGTACGAGAGCTTCATGGTGCTGGTGGTGATGTTGCGCTTGGCGAGTCGATTGAAAAGTGAGTCGATCGAGTCGCAGAGACGACGGACCCGACGACTTGTACTCACCGAGGCACACGTCGCTAGTAAAACTGATCCACGCGAAATCACTTTCATTTGTCCGAAGTTGTGTATCCATCATTGTATCAACCGATCGACATGGCCTTTCCAATGTCGTAAATCATAATCCTATAAGTACAATATCACTGAATCGCAGCCGACGGCAGTATTGGTTGTGGTGCTCACCGAGGCACACGTCGCTAGTAATACTGATCCACAGAGAATCACTTACCCTTGCCCGAAGTTGTGTATCCATCATTGTATCAACCGATCGACATGGCCTTTCCAATGTCGTAAATCATAATCCTATAAGTACAATATCACTGAATCGCAGCCGACGGCAGTATTGGTTGTGGTGCTCACCGAGGCACAC